AGGGGGGACACGAAACCGTGTAAACAGTACCCTGGAGGGGGGGGATGGTTTTCCGATACCCTCCTCGCTCAGGCGGGGCCTCCCTGGAGGGGTGGGAGGGGCACGAAACCATGTAAATAGTATGGTTTTCCGATACCCTCCTCGCTCAGGCGGGGCCTCCCTGGAGGGTGGGAGGGGCACGAAACCATGTAAATAGTATGGTTTTCCGATACCCTCCTCGCTCAGGCGGGGCCTCCCTGGAGGGGTGGGAGGGGCACGAAACCATGTAAATAGTATGGTATTCCGATACCCTCCTCGCTCAGGCGGGGCCTCCCTGGAGGGGTGGGAGGGGCACGAAACCATGTAAATAGTATGGTTTCCGATACCCTCCTCGCTCAGGCGGGGCCTCCCTGGAGGGGTGGGAGGGGCACGAAACCATGTAAATAGTATGGTTTTCCGATACCCTCCTCGCTCAGGCGGGGCCTCCCTGGAGGGGTGGGAGGGGCACGAAACCATGTAAATAGTATGGTTTTCGGATACCCTCCTCGCTCAGGCGGGGCCTCCCTGGAGGGGTGGGAGGGGCACGAAACCATGTAAATAGTATGGTTTTCCGATACCCTCCTCGCTCAGGCGGGGCCTCCCTGGAGGGTGGGAGGGGCACGAAACCATGTAAATAGTATGGTTTTCCGATACCCTCCTCGCTCAGGCGGGGCCTCCCTGGAGGGGTGGGAGGGGCACGAAACCATGTAAATAGTATGGTATTCCGATACCCTCCTCGCTCAGGCGGGGCCTCCCTGGAGGGGTGGGAGGGGCACGAAACCATGTAAATAGTATGGTTTCCGATACCCTCCTCGCTCAGGCGGGGCCTCCCTGGAGGGTGGGAGGGGCACGAAACCATGTAAATAGTATGGTTTCCGGATACCCTCCTCGCTCAGGCGGGGCCTCCCTGGAGGGGTGGGAGGGGCACGAAACCATGTAAATAGTATGGTTTTCCGATACCCTCCTCGCTCAGGCGGGGCCTCCCTGGAGGGGTGGGAGGGGCACGAAACCATGTAAATAGTATGGTTTCCGATACCCTCCTCGCTCAGGCGGGGCCTCCCTGGAGGGGTGGGAGGGGCACGAAACCATGTAAATAGTATGGTTTCCGATACCCTCCTCGCTCAGGCGGGGCCTCCCTGGGAGGTGGTATGAATAAGGGGCACGAAACCATGTAAATAGTATGGTTTTCGGATACCCTCCTCGCTCAGGCGGGACCTCCCTGGAGGGGTGGGAGGGGCACGAAACCATGTAACTAGTATGGTATTCCGATACCCTCCTCGCTCAGGCGGGGCCTCCCTGGAGGGGTGGGAGGGGCACGAAACCATGTAAATAGTATGGTTTTTCGGTACCCTCCTCGCTCAGGCGGGGCCTCCGTGGAGGTGTGGCATTGGTGTGATATGGTATGGTATGCTAGGGTACGCCATGGTATGGTATGGTACGGTATGGTACGTATGGTGTGTTATGGTATGGTATGGTATGTGTGGTAGGAACTATGGTATGGTATGGTGTGTGTGGTAGGAATAATATTGTGCTGTATTGGAAGATGGAGCGGGAGGTGGGTGGGAAGGAGAGGGTGTTCTGGGAAAACAAGAACCCCACTCAGGATGTGGGGAACAATATCCTCGGGCGCGGTCCCCAGCAGCCTCGAAGGGAGGGAGTGCGGGAGGGAAGGGGGAGGAGGGAGGGAGGACGTAAGGGGGTCTGGCGACCACGATTCCCGACTTCGGGTGCTTTTTTCCAGCTGGATCAATGATTTGGGCGGCACCCAACTGGGGGTTATACGATGGGAGCGGAGTCCGTCCTCGATAAGGGGTGCGTGCGCAGCCCCCTGAAATTGTATCCCCGAGCGTACCCTCTCAGCGGCCCGATTGTTCTGGAATTTTCTGGCAGCTCGGGGATCTGGGGCGGGAGATCGTCTGCGAGGGACTCCTCCCCCGTCGTCTTTCTCGTCCTCCATTCCCTGTTTTTCCCGTCGTCCACGTCCTTCGCGAGGCGAGAATATCCGGAAGGGGAGAAGAGGTGCCTGCCGATGAAGCGTGTGTCCGAGATGAGGGAGCTGCGCCAACAGCAGGCAGGTCGACCCGCGACATGAACACCGCCAGGCGCAGAGATTTTGCGGCTGCGTCAGCTCGTGGTCGCTTGTCGCAAGGGAGGAGGACGAGGAGATAGAGGAAGGTGAAGGGGGACAGGGTAGTCACTGCACGAGAGAACCCAGCCCCGAACAGAGCCACACGCACCACGACCACGACGACTCTAACGACGACGACGGAGACGAGGCGCGCAGACGATCCGCACCAAAGCACGGGCCAGGGACAAGGCTCACCCTGTCGGGGAACAAGGAGGAAGAGGAGGAGAAGGGTTCCACACCAACTTCGTCGTCCACCCCTTCCCCTCCTTATTCTCCTCGTCCTGCTCCTCGCGGTCCTCGGAAGCCGAGGTCCCCGGGGTTCCTCCTCAGCGGCCTCCAGAGCCCCAACAGAAACCCACACAACACACAGTACACAGATCGATCGTACACCTCGATCCCCCTCGTCCCCAAAGCCCTTGCAGCGCTCCCCTGCCACTAACAGCGCCCGCCGCCGCCGCCGCCGTCGCCGTCGCCGCCATTGTCGCCCTCGTCGTCGTCGTCGCCGCAGACGCAGCACCCGCCACCGCCGCCGCCGCCGCCGTCGTCGTCTCCTTCATCGTCGTCATCTTCATGGTCGTCGCGGTATCCCCCACCTTCAATCCTGTCGAGCACAATCCTGGCCCCACCAGCATTATGCACGGAGAGCCTGCTCCTGCTCCTGCTTCTCCTCCTCATGCTGCTGCTCCTCAAGTCCTCCAGCAACACTTCCTGATCCTGCTCGCCCCCCTCCTCGGGAGGAAAAGATCGAGCTTGCATCGGCGATATACCACCGATCGATCGGTGATGGGCCACCGATAGCGAAACCGCACGCTCCTGGGCGGGGGTAGGCTGTCAGGCCCCCATCGGCGATGAAAGGGCGATTGGGGGCCGATGCCCCCCTGAGTCTGCCCCGCCCTGAGCCCGCGAGTCCCCCGCCGAGGCCCTGCGCCGAAACTCTTGGCTCGGGGACCCGCGCGGAGCGCGGGCCGCTCTCCGAGCGCACCGGTAGCCGCCGTTTCGGTCCCTCGACCTGTGGACCCCGCCTCATCCTTGTCTCCCAACCATCCTGTGGTGGTGGGTCGTAGTTTCGAAATGAATGCCCCGCGTCTCCTCCTTCCTCCTCCCCCTCCATCCTCCTTCCACTCCGTGGCTCTGCCCTCCGCATCCACTCGCGGCACGACCTCTCACGCTCCGTGGCCCCTATAGGGAGCTCCAGCGAAAGCCTCAGTGGCAGTGATCACGTGAGGTTCCCACACCCAGTACAGCGCTGCGTGGCACTACAGGGATTTCTCCCGAAAACCTTGGTGGTGGTGTCCACATGCGGTCCCCCCACCCAATACAGCGTTTCGTGGCCCCATTGGGAGCTCCACCGAAGGCCTCAGTGGCGGCGTTCGCACGCGGTTCCCCCATAGCGTTTTGTGGCCTCATAGGGTTCTCTACCGAAGGCCTCCGTTGCGGTGTCCGCATGCGACTCCCCCACCCAGTACAGCGCTTCATGGCCCCATAGGGAGCTCCAGCGAAGGCCTCACTGGCAGCGTCCGCATGCGGTTCCCGCACCCAGCACAACGCTTCGTGATCCCATAGGAAGCTCCACCGAAGGACTCACTGCCAGTGTTCGCATGCGGTTCCAACGCTCAATGCAACGCTTCGTGGCCCCAACGAGAACTCCACCGAAGGCCTCAGTAGCGGTGTCCGCATGCGGTTCCCCCACCCAGTAGTGCGTTTCGTGGCCCTATAGGGAGATTTGCCGAAGGCCTCCGTGGGCGGTTCGCGTCTGGTTCCAACACATAATACAGCGCTGCGTGGCCCGACAGGGAGCTCCACCGAAAGCCTCAGTGGCGGTGTTCGCATGCGACTCCCCCGCCTGGAACAGCGCTTCGTGGCCCCATGCCTCAGCGGCTGTGTTCGCATACGGTTCGCCCACCCAGCACAACGCTTCGTGGCCCCATATGGAACTCCCCCGAAGGCCTCAGTGGCGGTGTCCGCGCGCGTTTCTTCCACCCAATACAACGCTTGTTTGCCCCATGCCTCAGTGGCTGTGTTCGCATGCGGTTCCCTCACCCAGCACAACGTTCCGTTGCCCCATAGGGAGCTCCACCGAAGGCCTCGGTGGCAGTGTTCGCATGCAGTTCCCGCACCCAGTACAACGCTTCGCGGCCCCATAGGGAGCTCCACCGAAGGCCTCAGTGGCGATGTCCGCGTGCGGTTCCCCCACCCAGTACAGCGCTTCGTGGCCCCACGGGGAGCTCCACCGACGGCCTCAGTGGCAGTGTCCGCACGCGGCCCCCCCACCCAATACAGCGCTTCGTGGCCGCATAAGGAGCTCCACCGAAGGCATCTGTGGCGGTGTTCGCATGCGGGTCCCCCACCAAGTACACGTTTTCGCGGCCCCATAGGAAGCTCCACCAAAGTCCTCAGTGGCACTGTTCGCATGCGTTCCCCCCACCCAGTACAGCGCTTCGTGGCCACATAAGGGGGTGCTCCACCGAAGGCCTCAGCGGCGGCGTTCGCATGCGCCACCCCCGCTCAGTAACCGCTTCGTGGCCCCGTATGGAGTACCACCTAAGACCCCAATGGCGGCTCCGTCCCAGTGCGGCGACCCCCCCCAGACGTTTCACGGCCCCATAGTGAGCTCCACCGACATGCTCAGTGGCAGCGCCCGCATGGCCCCGCCCCATATCGGCACACCCTTCGCATGCTTTTGCTCCATGGTCCACCCAAGGCGATACCCGCAACGACGGTACTCACAACTGCATGTGATTGGGTCACTCGCCAGGATAATCGTGACGTTGCGCGAACTCGAGCAGCAGGGCTGTGGCGTTCTAGGGGGCGAGGAAACTACGCGCCGATTCAGGCATAGCGAGACAAATAAAGATAAAGGACAGTGCCTCCACCTCCTCCTCACTCATCCTCACTCCTCTTCACTCCTCCTCCTCCTCCTCCTCCTCCTCCTCCTGCTCCTCCTCCTTCTCCTCATGAAGCCTCTCCACCCCGTGCCTCTCCTCCCAAAGCCGCCGAAAGCCTCTCGAGCTTCCCATTCGTTCTGCCAGCCCTTCTGCCACTCGGGCAGCGATCTCCGGCCACCTCCCAGAGCGCGCGTGTACCCCCGAACCGACGCGGCTCCAGCCGTGGCCTCGAGGAGGCTCCCAGAGGCCGAAGGGAGAATCGACCACGCCCCAGCCGTCGGCCCTCCCCCCTCCTCCTCCGCCTTCCTCCCGCATCTTCGGGCTCCTCCTCCCGTTGAGGTGGGCCACGAGACTGCCTCCCCGCAGGCGACCACCCCGAGGAGCGCCAACCCCCCCCCTGGAGCGCCCCGCCCTGGCGGCGACCAGGGCGAAGAGCGCGAAGGGGCCGGTGCCGATGTCGAGCACGGTGCACCCCTTCCTTCGGGAGCAGCCAAGGCATGCCCAAACGTCGGGCGGCGCGATGCTTTCTGCCGCGGCGTGTTCACCTCGCTTCGGCCACACGGGGCCGTTATAGGAACCCAGGACGGCCGTCAAAAGTCGGTCCGGCGCAAAACTCCAGGGAAGGGGTCTGAGCCTCAGGGCCCCGCGGACTGAGAAATCACATCGTGGGATGTCTGGGTGCATGCCCTCGAGCCCTGGATACAGGGTCGCGATCCAATGGATGCGTTCCGTGCGGGCCACCTGTGCAAAGCCACCATATATCAATGAACCAGCGGCCGAAGAGTCCAGTCCACGAGGCCGTGGACGTGGATGATGTTTCCCGCCCGCGAATCCTGGCGCTGACGCGCTGCTGGATCGCCTTGATGAACTGGGGAGTTCGCCTGGCACTGGACGAGGAGGAGGAGGACGACGAAGAGTAAGTGAAACATTCAGGCATATTGGATGTATGTGGGCATGTCTTGAGCGTGTGGGGGCGGGGGACGTGACAAAGCGGGCGAAGGAAACGACGCAGGAAGGGGATAAGGGAGGAGGGGGCGGCTGAGGGGAGTGGAGGAGACGACAGGGGGTGGACGCGAAGGAGAAGGATTAGGGGATAGGCAGCTCAAAGACAATCGGCGAGTCGCGAGCATGACTACGTGTTTCATTCCCCTCGCAACGCCTGGAGCGCGAACACAGGAAGACGGAAGGGGAGGGATGGTGAGGAGGGGACAGGGAGGATGAGGGGGGGTAGAGGGATCATACCTGATTGTGCGGACGACGGAAGGGATACGCGAATATACTGGATTCTGCGGGCGACGGAACGGATGCGAGAAGAACCCGACTTCGACCTGAGGCGGAGGGCTTTGGGAACTCCCATGCCTGTCCTGTCAACGCGGCTAGCGTAGAGGAATAAGGAAAGTGAGAGGGGGAAGGGAAGGACGACAAGGGGGTAGAGGGGTAAAGGAGGAAACGGAAATGAAATGGGAAGACGGAGACGGCGCGCTTCCACGGGTCAGTAAGTCGCTGATGTGCACGCCCTCGGCTGACCCAGCTCGTTGGCCCGAGCTGGGCGGCAACGACGGAAAGAGAGGCTTCGCCCCAGAGATGAGGAGAAAGATGGACAAGTGGGCGGCAACGACGAGGAATGAATCGGATCCAGGAATGCGGGCCGCGCTGGGGCGAGAGCGTCACTCTGAACAGCGAAAACAAAAGTACCGTCCCGGAGCTGTGGCCAATGCTTCAGCGTGAACATAATGTTACCATTCTTGGTCAAAAGACGAGAAGGCTACGATTTGAAAGCATCCGCCAGACAACTCGGGACATCCTTGCGTTTCAAAGCGGCAAGAGAATAATGTATTACTCTGCAGTTGCAGAAGACGGGTTGGGAGCGGGAGAAGGGAAGTCGCAGGAAGGGGGCAGACTGAGCGCGAAGGAGGCGCAGGAGGGAACTCCGCGCAGCACACGCCAGGCAGGCCTAGAAGGAGGAGCGAGGGAAGGGCACAAGGGCGGAGGAGGGGGTGGAGAAAACTGGCGACGACGACGACGACGAAGGCGACGACGCTGGCGAAGATGGGGGAGGAGCTCAGCCGACGCCGTGCGGCAGTGCCTAGGCTGGTCAGCGAAGAGAGCCCTGCCAGCACCCGGAAGCAGGCGCGGAACCCTCTGGTGGCCAGAGAGTCCGTGAGCGGAAGCCCCACCGTGACGAGAACTCCGACGGCTCGGCTCGTTTTCGAGGCGCCTCGGGGCACTCAGGGGTAGCGACAGGCTCGAGGTTCGATGCTTTCGCACGGTTTCGTCGGTTCTCGGCTGTTTCCCTGCTTCGGGGCGTTTTGCAGCGTTCGCAGGTGCTCGGATCGACCGAAGCCCCGTCCACAATGAACCGACTTGTCATCCAGGTTCGTCTTTCCAAGGCCCCCCAGGGGCCTGGAATGAAGTCCGGAGCTCCAAAAATGCGAAAACTGTCGGAGCGGATACGTCCAAAATCTTGGCAACATAATGCAGAACCCCCAAATGCAAACACCGTCTTGGGAAAACAGTTGAATATACATCTAAGACATGTGAAAAAAATCTGCAGAGCGATACCAACGACGCCGGCGCCGACGCCGACGCTGACGGCGACGACGACGACGACAGGCGCGGGACCCGCGACCAGTGGGGGCCAGCGGCAAGACTCCTGGACGTCCTGGCTGAAGGGGCCCGGGAACACACAAATAGATACACACAAATAACAGGATTCCCTATGTTTTCCCGTATTTTCTATGTTTTTGCCTTCCCCCCCACTTCCCATATTTTCCCATATTTTCTGGGGATCGACGATTCATTGTGTCTGTGTTTTTCCCCCTCCTGATCCTGGACGTCCTGGCAAGGCCCCGCCGGTGGTTTGGGCGCCTCGGCAAGACGCTCGCCGGCGGTTTTTGGGCCGCGGCCGCCCGCGGCCGCCCGCGTCGAGGCCCCCCCCGAGGGCCGGGAGGGCGCCGACGGCCCTCTCCCCTCCGACGCGAGAGTCTGTGAAGCGCACTCGGGGGCGCCCGCTCGGCAGAGGCACGAGACCGCGACGACGGCAGCGTCCTCGACGACGACGACGACGACAACGACGACGACGACGACGGCGACGGCGACGACGAGGGTGGCAACGGCGGCGACGGCGACGGCAACAAAAAGGGCGGGGAGGACGCCGACGGCCCTCACCTCCGACGTGGGAGTTTTCCTTGCCGTTCCCAGGCTGGCCCTACCACCCCAAAAACGAAGAACAGCAAGTCGTCACGATTTTCTGGTGGCGCCTGGACCCTATGGGTGGCGACGAAACGACGTCCTCAGAAAGCATCCGGGAGCCTCCGAACACATACACACAAATTGAAACAAACCGAACCCGACGACGACAACGAAGACGAAGACGACGACAGGCGGGATCCGCGGTTCTGGGGGGCCTGCCTGGTGTCGTCCCGCATGGCGCCGTAAGAATCCTCGTCGCAGGGGGGCGGCGGGAGTCGGGCCGCCAGTGGACGAGGCGGGGACTTTCATGTCGTTGTCGTCGTTGATTTGGAAGCTGTTGGACGTTCCCCGATGTTCTCGTCACCACAGCTGGACCCAGCTAGGAAAGCTGGCCTGGATGGACACAGGGCGAGGCCCAGAGACTCATAGTTGGCAGACTCACATCGTTGCCAAATGGTGCGCTTTACCGCGTCCGCCACCCCTCTGGGCGCTGACCGGCGCTGTGCCAGTGACGCCACCCGCGCATGCGAATGGGAACTCGGCGGAACGGAAATCGATCTAGTGAGGGTTTTTTTTCTTCCCCACATCCAAAATGGGGTTCTAGTTTTCTCTGGACACGCCGCGCAAGAATAGGATGAAAGGAACACCCCCTCATTTCTCACTCAAACACTCATGCACCCACATCATCATCGCAGCATCATCATCACTTGCACACTCAGTCACTCAATCACACCCACTCAGGTTATCCTGAATAGCTCACCCATTCAGTCACAACTATTCCTCATCACTCATAAAAATCATTATCACACAACCACCGTCACCATCGTCGTTGTCGCACACACTCACTCACACACCCACACGCTGTGCTTGAGGAGGTCTCAAGCGGAAGCCTCGTCTGTGAGTGCGTACTATCACTACCACCCATCATCATTCACGCCACCATAATCACCCATCACCAGCCACCATCGTCACCATCACCACCGTCATCATCACCCATCACCATCTTCGTCACATCATCATCGGACGAAATCTCGGGCGGGAGCCTCGTTTTTGAATGCGCTGCGAGAGAATCTCAGACGGGAGCCTCCGCCTTATGGGGCCGCAGCTCATGTTTTTAAGCCGAATCGGAAAACCTGTAAGTGTCATCACTCTTTGGCCCTGAGGCCTGCATATGGAGAAGGTATCAAGCGGGAACCGCGTCACTGAGTGGATTGCGAGGAAGTCTCCGGCGGGAGCCCCCTCTTTTTGGGGCCCGCAGCTCACGTGTTTCATCCGAACGTGTCCTCGGAACACCTGTGCCAGTCCTCACTTTTGGGCCCCTTAAGGCCTGCATGTGGGGGAAATATCAGAGCCTCGTCTGTGAGCGAACTGCGAGGAAGTCTCCGGCGGGAGCCTCCGCCTTATGAGGCCCGCATCCCATGTGTATAATCCGACCGTGTCATCGGGATCCTGTAACTGTCCTGGCTTTGGGGCACCTGAGGCCTGCATATGGAGGAAATATCAGGCGGGAGCTTCGTCTGTTAGTGAATTGCGAGGAAGTCTCAGGCGGGAGCCTCCGCTATATGGGGCCCGCAGCTCACGTGTTTACTCCGAGCGGGTCATCGGGATCCTGGAAATTGTCGTCGCGGTTGGGCCGCTGAAGCCTGGATATGGAGGAAGGATCAGGCGGGTGGCGGCCGCGCTGTACATCGCGCTGGACCTTCGCGCGTGCCACGGAAGCAACAACACGCACGACGTGCAGGAGTCTACGTACAAGCGGCCGCACCACCACTTCGGGCGCGTCTTCATCGTGTTGCACCTCAGCGATTTCCTGCAGCTGAAGTCCACGGGCAACATCGGCCTCCTGACGGACGTGAGCGAGCTCCTGGATGATGGGTCCAACAAGTACACGGAGCCGCCGACGGTGGAGAGTCAGCACGCCGTTAAGGTTTTCTCTCAGATCCCCTACGTCTTCGACCTGACAGACACGAAGCGCTTCGAGCATGGGGACCCCCCGACCACGCTCTTGCGCTGCACGCGCGAAGGCGAGCCCTTCCCGCCAGAGGTCTGGTCCGCCTGGGAAACGACGTTGTCCTCGGATAGCTGCGGCGTCCTGGACCCTGGGCACCAGCGCGAAAACACTCGGTTCGGCTACGGCATGGGGTTCTACTGGGAGACGCTGGCGAGATGCGCGCTCGTCGCGACGCGCGGCGTCTGGGCGTGCCCCTCGTTTTCTTGCAGGCCGTGGACGAGTGCAACGCGATTCAGGGCGATCCCGACGCGGGCCGGCACCTCCTGAACGTCCCGAACGCGCACAAGACGGGGGACATCCACAGCATCTTGCTGGCCCACGTCGGCATGGAAGTGCGACTCCCGGCCGTGCAGGAAGCGCTGAAGAAGTTGGGGCTGGTGCAGGAACAACGAGCCACCGTCGCATCCCTCGACTTTCACCCCGAGGGCGAGCAGCGGAACGAGGAGTGCTCGCCGGGGCAGCTTTTCCGCCCCCGCTACCTACCGCAGGGAATCAGGCTGCAGGTGCACGGCTTCGAGGAGTCTCCGATCTACCAGGAGGTCGCCGATGTGCTGCTACAGGGCGCCGAAGGCGCCGACGACGACGGCGGGGCCGAGGCAATGGCGAGCAGCTTGCTCATGTTCAGGCCCAGCGAGCAGGAGCTCACGTGGCAGAGCTCGGGGCCACACGCCGTGCGCCGCTCGGGGTTCACCATGGCGCACGCGTCGTATCTGACCTCCACGCTGTCGCAGGGCCAGACGCTGCGCAAGGTCGTCACCACCGACTGCGCGAGGGACGAGGACGCTGGTCGCACGGGCATGTCGGACGAGCAATGGTGGCTGCACCTCTACGTCATGTTCTCCGGCGCCACGCGCGTGCGAAACATGCGGGTCCCGCGGCCGCCGCTGCGAGAGTTCCTGGAGCGAGAGCTCGCGGCAGAGCTGGGCTTCGTGCCGCCCCCCGCCTGAGCGCGGCGGCGCCCCGCTCGGAGCCCACGGGGTTGTCCAAACGGCTTGGTCTCGCGCGCCAGCGGCTCGCGGGGTTGTCCCGACGGCCTGGCCCGCAGCGCTGTCCCCGACGACTGCGCGATTTCGCCGTCGGAGAACGCGCCCCTGCCAGCGTGGCGGCGAGGGCGCCGAGGAAAATCTACGCGCGTGCCCCTGCCAGGAGGAAGGAGAGGCGCAGGAGGAAAACGAGCGGGGCGGCGATGAGGAGGGGGAGAAGGAGGAGAAGGTGGAGTGTGGCAAGGCACAGACCGAAAAGGAGGAGGAGGAGGAACGTGAGGAGGAGAGGGAAGAAGTGGAGGAGGCAGAGGGGGAGGAGGCGGAAGAGGAAGAGGATCAGGACTGCAACGAGTAGGGCGAGACGGAACAGGAGGAGAAGGAAGAGAATGAGGAGGAGGACGGTGAGGGCGGAAGGAAACCTCCGCCAGACGAAGAAGAAAAAGGCGAGGGGCAAGCTACATCGATTATCATGCGGGGTCATACTGTTGGAATAATTTGTTGCACGGTGCCTGCCATGGGAGGGGACGGGCGAAAAGGGCGGGTCAAGCTAGGCGCGCGCGACAGATCTGGCGGCATACACCTCCCGCCCATCCCTTCCCAGTGCGCTATTCACCCCTGTATTCGCCAACGGGTGTCCTCTGCGAACCTGGATGCCTCAAGTGTCCCTATTGTGTCATGCGCACTGAGCCAGGGGAGCTGTGCACAGTGGAGGAGGTGGCGGATGAACAGGAGGCCGATCATAATCGATCGGGAGAGGGGGGTCGCGAGGGCAGCGCCCTGGCTGCAAACTTTGACTCGTATCTTGCGGGAGGGCCGTTGAGCAGGGCATAGTAGAGTTGCGATTGCCATGCCAATGTGCACTCCAACAGTCCGATCGTTGAATCATTGACGTGTTTCAGTGGTCTTATCATGCTCCAGACCTCGCCCCTGGAGGTGCAAAGACAAATCGAACATGTGTCATCGAAGGCGTTCAAAGATCCCTGCATGTGGCCCGCCTCTCTTGGGGAAGTCCTCGGGGGGAGTCTCATGCGGGAGTCCTATGTAAAAATCCAATAGGGGAGGGGGAGGCCTATGGGGGAGTCCTATGGGGGAGTCCATGTTGGCAGTCATCTGGGGGAGTGCCATCAGGGTGTCCTTTGGGGGGGTCCCTTGGGGAGATCCAGTGGGGGAGCCCCATGGGGGGACCACGGGGAGTCCTATGGGGGAGGACACCCCATGGGGAACTTTGAGAGGGGATGAGTCTCTATCGAGGAATCCCACGGGGGGGGCCTAGCTGGGGAGGC